TCTTCACTTGGACTTCCAACGGCAACACACGGCCAAACGGCTTATTCTGGGGATCCACCAACCCTCGGCAGTCCATGATGACAGTGCTCAGCATGGAATGGGACCTCTCCGCTCTGGTCTACCTTATTCATGGGTTCCTTGAGCCAATCACCCACTCGCGCCAGGACTTGGGGTCCCACCCAAAAAAGTGTACCCATGGGGGGTACCCCCTAGAATCTCCTCTCGTGATCAAACTCCCCCACGTGATGTCTCTCCACCAATCAGCGCCTCTCATCAAGTCTGTAAATCCCGTTGCGCGCTCTGTGTGAGCTCATTCCAGTTTGATCCATCAAGCTATTCAAGATGGTAAGCTCACTCCAGTCTATCGTACTGTTCTCCGTGCCGATTGCGATCCTAATTGACATGCTGAAGATCTTGCACCACCTGCCCATGGGCCATGAGTTGTTCCGCGCGCTGTTCCGTCGCTGCACGCATGAAGAGTTACGGAATTGGGCGAAAACGTTCCCGTGGGACCACCCGATCGCCAGGAAATTGGATCACGAGGTCCATCGACGTCGTATGGCCGGTGAGTGTCATCGCTTTTCATTTTTGGGTGTGGGTCCCTTTTTTCCTTATACCTTTTTGATTTTTTCACAGAGGTATTCAAGGGGTTCGAGTTTCTACGCACCGTGCTGTGGCCTGTTCATCTATGTCTTTGCCCTCGACGTGCCCGACTCAATTGGGCCGCACGGTTCTGGGTTCCAAATTGTTCGTGTTAATTTTTTTTATTCGTTAGATTCATGGGAGTACATAGAAAACCAACCTGTGTGTCATATCTATCAATGGCTCGCCCATCCCACTCATGACGGGGTCTGTAATCACTGCGAGAGAATGATGGATGGCTTAAGACTGGATGATCTGATTGCTGGCAACTGGGAGGGGTCCCTCACCGAAGATGAGATTGTGCAATATGTACAAGATGGGGACCCTAACCAACGGGACTGGGACGACTTTCCCTTGCGAATGACCTTTAGAATCAATTCGTTTCTCCGAAGACAGGGTGATGTGGGTGAACCGGATTTGGCGGCTCTAGGCTTTTTAGACGATTGATTTTAGTTCATTTTTTCACAGGCACCCATTGCCTGTTACGTCATCATTTGCAATGGATTCCGAGAGTGTCCTCTTTAAACTCTCCTTTTTTTCGCATCCTGATTCGTCCACTTTCTACCTCTTTGTAGGCTTTCATTTTACGTTGAAACAGTATGGAGATTGGGTACGACCCATTCAATTAAGATGTCATTATAGCACAGTCAAATGTATAATCCAACTTCATGAAATATTTCAGATGTGATTGAGGTCATTGACCAATGGGGGAGGATCCTTCCCTTGCAACATCGATGCCATATTCATCGTGTTCAACAATTGGTTCAATTTTGTATATTATTTTGTAATAATACTGCTTTTTAGATACGCGTACCCACATTGGCAACAGCTGCTGGTTCCGAGACCGTATTGCTTTCTTACTCATGAAGACAGAGTATTATTATTAATTTTTTCGCAGATTCGTATGCTATTCTCAGCACCCACAGGGTTCATGGCACTTCCGCGGCCTGGTGTTTTTGTGGTAGTATCGTACAATGGTACACTGGAACAGGGGTTTCCCTTCCATATCCGAATCCACTCAAATTACTGTGTTGTCGTTGTTTTTTGAATTTTCGTCGCGTGCAAGATTTACATGTGCCCTGTTATTGGTGTGAGATGTTGCAAGGCATGGGTTATCCACCCCGTTTCTGAAAAACCTGTTGTTTTTTTTGTTTCAGATACTCGTTTTGTCATACGAGCTATTTATATCCCTTCCCTTTTTCAGCCACTGCCCAGATAATAGAGAATCACACCAGATATTACCATGCTTATCTGATGAAGCAGTTGTATTTTGTGTGCAAACGCTGTTGGACGTATTCACGTCACGTGAACACCCTCCATGAACCCTGTTGGGGATGTCATATTTTAGAAAGCACAGGATGGGAATTCTGAACACCCGGTAGGGGGAGGTCTGCATGGTGGCGCCACCCCTGCTGGATGTTCATTTTTTAATTTCATTCATTAGATTCCCATTGGATCATTCAACGTGTGATGATTTTCCAAAGCTGGCCCATCCCTCACAAACTTTGCATTGTCAATCATCAAGGATGGTCCAGCTTACTTCATTTGTTCAAACTCCAACGTTGATTTTTTTTCATTAGTATGTCATTGGTTCCTGGATGCTCAAACTAAGATATTGATTTTTTATTAGCCTGTCACTGGATCCTAGACCATTTTGATTATAATCAAGACTGGATTTTAATAGAATATTATTGTAAACAAACATTTCAAGGGCGTGACACCACCAGGGCGTCACACACGTCCCGTTTGTAATAAAGGTCTCTTTTTTTTCAGTCAATCATTGGACCCTAAACCATCGCCTCGTACGTGCCAATGGTCGACTGTTTCTCATTCAGTTTGCTTCTTGGATCTAACCATTCCTCCATTCAATTCGTTTCAGTCACTTTGGCCACGATCAAATTCCCTTTCATCAAACCATGGTCATACACAGGTTACAACCACTACATCAAATGGCCTCATCCCCTGCTCATGACTTCTTCTGCTAAGAAGCAAACACCTTATTTTGATTTTGTGTATTAATGTAAAAAAATGGGCGTGACGTCATTAGGGCGTCACACACGTCCCGCTTGTAACCAGGCTCTCCTCGCGATGTGTTCATTAAAAAAGTGGATGTTGACCTCTATCGAGCGTGTTTTTCTTGACTTTGGGGATGCGAGGGGTCTGGGACTACTTTTCGTAGTTTGCGCATGCGCAGTAGGTGTACGCGGAAATAGGCTCACAGGCATGCGGGGGGTCTGGGGAGACCATTGGCGGTCTGCGCATGTGCCTACAATCCCATTCACGTGACTGCGCAGGGTAAACGCCTGGGCCCCATTGCGCATGCGTCCAACTACCAGGCTCTTCTCTCCATAAAACTATGCAAACAATGTAGATTCAACTCTTGTGTGCGTGTGTTCTTTATTCCATGAGGTCACGTGTCAAACCATGCCCAAATATGGGCAATGTGACGTCACATAAGTCACATGGGCCAAATGCGCGATTCTGATTGGTCGAGAGAAATTTTGCTGCGCTCTGATTGGTCAGGACCTAGTGTAGCCCCTATTACTACTATTAACCTGTAGCGGGCTGCATTTGTGACGTCATTTCCTCGTTAAACACAAATTTGTTCCAAATTTGGTCATCAGTAACTGGTTATGGTGAGTTATGCGTGTGTTTTTAGCCAATCAGAATTGGGGAAATATTTTGAATGAATAATAATGCATGTTATGTTGTTACTAATTTTAAAAGAGTTATGGTATTGTAAAGCGCCACGGACAATTAGTGGAGTATGGCGCCAAATAAATGCATTTTCATTTTTCATTTATAATTAACGTAAGTCATTTCAACTTGATTAAGTCAATAATACTTAGACCTTAGTTATATTTATGCTTCATGTTCCTTTAGATAGTATTATCGAATCAGTTATTGCTGTTGGTGGAGTCTCGCTTTGGGTGAACTCTGTTTGCTGGGATAACCAATAATGACAATTCCAGTTCGGGATGAATTTGGCCACAAGAGTGACCGTTTTATTTCATTTAAGCATATACAGCTAGGAAAATCCAGATACACAAGAAGATTATCCCAGCAAAGGTGAGGGCACACCCGCCATCCGGGACATGAAGTGGAGCAAAAGGGGAGGGAAGGGAGGGAAGAAATGTTTTCTAACTTTCTTGTTGCAGTGAGCAGAGAGGCTTTGTGCCTCGCTTATGTCTTAAAAACACACATATAATTTCCCGGATGGCAGGAACGCCCCCTTACTAGTAAAGACTTACTAGCAGCTGGAGAAATGACACATTAATCAGTCATATTAAGCATCAAACCATTTATTTCTTTCAGAAATAAATTTCATTTCTAGCACAGTTTTGACATCTATTAACCAGATATATAAAAATAACAAATTGTCTTGTAGCAAGAAGCCATTTTATTCTTTTGCACCATTGCAGAACATGTACTTATACCACAGCCAACCGATGCTTCACATTCCTTAGGATTACCCCACGGTTAGTTGCACATTATGTAAAAGAATGCTTAAATAGATCACCATGAAAAAAGAAAAACAAAATTTGTCCATATGGTTTTTAGGGTTCGGGATCCTAAACTAGGAGATCAACCTTGGAGGGCTGTAATTTTGTGAAAATGGCAGTCTTAAAACATATCCTGTGGTTATTTACTAATAGTATTTCTCCTCCAAGGAGACTAATTTACTTCCAGGCATAGTCAAAACTGGACTGAAACTCGCCCGACGATCCTCCCACCAGACAGTGCCTGCACAGCAACTCAGTAGTTAGATAAATGCCATCACGCTGACCCTTCAGTACAGATCTTGACGTCCTACTGGATCACAAGTCTTTTCTAACAATCGATTAATCAATAGTCATCGATTTCCATCGAAAATCATTATTAATCAAAGTCACAACTTTTTTCTCTATCGATTCCTATGGATTGGTATCGAAAATCGATATGATTATCCATCGAAGATTGTTATAGATTACTAAAGATTGTTATCGATTGACTATGCCTATCCTGAGAAAACAGCCGGCATTCCGCGACGCCACCACTGGTTTCCGCGCAAAATCGACGTCTGAGAAACGAGCGCAGAAATTCTATACGGATGACGTATCACTACATAGATCTGGGTAGTGCTTCTGATTAGCTAAAACAAATTTCCCTCATGGCACGACCAATCAGAAGCTCTACCCAGATCTGGGTAGTGACGCGTCATCAGCATGGAATCTCTGCGTTCGTTTCTCAGATGTCATTTCGCGGGGAAACCAGTGGTGGCGTCGCGAAATGTCGGCTGTTTTCTCAGGCTAGACTACGCCTGATTTGCTTAGAAGGTGAGCGTGTGGCTGATGTGACTGCTTTGTTTCCAAATAGTAATGTACGTGACAGCATCGCAACTTACAATTCATAATGAATTCAAAACTGACGTTCGTGAAGGGGGAATTGCAGCAATTGGACCCCAAAGTGAGGTTCGTGTGGGACAATCATCAGCTGTGACTACTCGGTTAGTGCTTGATTTTATTGTAATAGAGAGAACTTGTCATGTTTATTTCAGACTAAAGGTTAACAGAAGTTTTTTGGCTTCCTTTTCGAAGTTTCTTAATTTTTAGAAGTTTGGAAACTACTGTTGGAAGAATGCTCGTGTCTGTCTTTAACATAAAGTTGTCAGTCTCTGAGTGATGTCAAAGAATTTAATTTGCTTAAGTGGAATGACAAACCAGCCCGTAAAACTTTGGGTTCCGGGATTCAGAAAGCAAGATGGAAGCTGCCACCCAGTTTGGGAGAAAGGACAGAATAAGGGATAAAGAGGGAGAGGTGGATGGACTTAGATCGACTTAAGTCTTTTTTCTTTTCCTATCCTACCTTTCTAATCAGCGATATTCATGTCTTCCTCGTCAATAGATAGTCACGGCCGTTTTGCTTGTTCTTGTTCTTCCTATCGCATGCCTTAACAATTAAAGATAATTATGAAAGAAACTGGTTCCTTAGAGCGATTTTCGTATGACCTTGAAATGAAAACGCGCGAACAAAACAGAAACAACAAACGGACGGAAATAGAGCGATTTGATTGGTTTATCGAACGGATATAAACGCGTGGCTTTTGGTTGGTTAAACGAATGTACCTATCAATGTAAAGCCGGCGAGCGGGGGGCGGGGGGAGGGGGGCAGGGCACGGGGTGGGGATTTGATTGTCTTTGTTGGCCCTGGGGTAGGGCATTTGACTGATCTTGTTCTCCCAGGGGAGGGGATATTTGAATCTTTCTTCGCCCGACGTGGAGATATTTGACTGCCGACTCGGACGAAAAAGACTGAGACCGAACATATGTTTCCCGCTTCCACGCTTCACGCATGCGCCGTACGGTTTGAAAAGATCAGGAAGTCATGGAGGCCAATGAGAACAAGCGAAGGCTGAGTGGATTTCACTGTTTTGTCTTCAAATTTCGTTTGTTTTAGCGTGTTTTTGATCAATTGAACCTCTTAAAATACTGTGGTATCAAAGTAAACGGAAGTAAAGAGAAACCAAGTCGATTTTTGCAAGTACAATTGATTAGTGTATGGCTCATTCGCCACAATCAGTGTAAACTTTTAAAACTGACTTTATTTGTACCCCTTACTAAGAACGGTATATTTAAACTTACAAAATGTGGAGTTTCTCCTAAAGGTTTATGTATTCTACGCAGTGTAACACGGATTATGGTTAAAATGTATAATTGCAGCTGTAACAGGAACATGTATCTTTGGTGATGCAGCAACGTTTATAAAAGATTGCAGAGTTTTATTTGGAGATACTTTTATTGCGCCTTTCTTAGGTTCTGCCTTGGGATTGACAGCAATGTGCAGCCTGGGGTGGGGAAATTTGGTTGCATTTGACTGTAATGATTTGCCCGTGGGCAGGGAATTTGATTGCAAATATTTGAAAAAAGTCAAATCCCCACCCTATGCCCTGCCCCCCACCCCCCCCCCACCCCCCTTCGCCGGCATTACATTGATAGGTGCAAAACGCTCGGGTGAAAAAACTTCATGCTCGAGAACTGTCTAGAAATCAATCGATACTTCGCTTTGACGTTATACTGCGACACGATTGCCAATTGCACAATGCCTTCTCCATATTAGGGTTTTCTTTGGCGGGAAAACGAAGAGTCCATGTGTTGATCTTTTCATCCATTGGCTGATGAAACAAATAACGAACACTCACCTAAAACGTGATTGGATATTAACAACATCTAAATGGTCTTCGTTTAGGCGTCTCCTGGGGTTAGGTGGAAATGTGGACTGGTCTGTGGAGTGGGAGTCTATGTTAAGCTTCAGTTTTATCCTTGGTTTTCATTTTATTTTAGGGGGTTTGGTAATGTATGATAATAAGTTGTTTTAAAAGAAAGGAAAATGAATTCAAACCAAGGAAATTGAACCACAACATGTGCACGCAGGTTACATCTAAACAGAGCTGATAAGTATTGACAGTATTGACCGCGGTGATAACAGAGAATTTTCCCAAATCTGAAGCTACGATTGCCATTTTCCCTGTAATTTATAGATTTAGCCAGGGCTACAAGCGAAGCCTCCGTTTCTATACTTATGATAAACGCAATCCAATTACAGTAATAACATGAACTCTAAGTCAAAAAATCTTCACATCCCTAAGAGCCTTCGGCATCAGAGACCTTTAGAGGGAGGGGTTAAATGATTAAGAAAAAAAATATCCCGCAAACAAACCTGAATTGAAAAAATTGTTAAATTGTAAGTCTCTTAAGTATCGGTGATTCTGTGTTTAAGGGAAGACGTAAAAGTAAAATCAGGCCGACTTAAGGACTTTTGTCTTCCAGTAAGCCCATTATATTTTCTTTTCTTTTTTTTGACGAACAGTTATGTGTAGCCTTTACATTTATACCACACAATATCTGAAAGAAATTTTTACCGTAAGGTGTATAATATTTTCTCCGAGGACAGACATACGAAAGAAAACGATAATCTTTTTCGCTCTTATAACAATAATCCAATCTTTCACTTCAAATATAAACGTTAATACAGCAACTTACAACCTTTTATTATTAAAAAAAAAAAAAAAAAAAAAAAAAAAGACAAACTCGGGCTCCAAAAGCCGGCAAGTCTCTCCGTTTTAGAATAGAGGAGAACGCTTTCATTTTTTAGATAAGCTCGTAATGATTGAGAAAATGAATAGCAATTCAATGCGGAACATGTGCAAAAACAACACTTCAGTTTTAATTTGAGAAAGGGCCCGTCTGAATGTTTCTAAACATCGCACGATCTGTGATCGTTTTTTGAGCTAATGTTATGAATGAACAATGACAGATAAATAACTTAATTTTTTGAAAATTTTTATTCAAAAACCCATAAGTTAATCCTAAAAAGCAATTCGCGTAAGAATTGCAAGTCAAGTTAAATCGTTGCGTTCGCGCAAGTTAAATCGGTCGAGCACGCGGTAAAAAAATCAGTTTCAAATGCACATTTTTTGGTTTTTCTTTCACGCCGATCTCAAAATGTAGAAAACGTCCATGAAGCCTTTATAAATACAAAAATTCCTTTTTAAAAACGAACTTTTCTTTGATCATAGAGTACGGAATGTACCTCAAGTGTCTTCAGAGACCTCGCTGCCTTGGTTGGTTCAAAACAAGCCAAGCGCTCCGATCCGCCGTGTAGAAACAAGGTTGAATTCTTCGAAAGACAATATCATTGCGAAAAGCTTTCGTTTGCCCACAAAAAGGAGACTGAGCGTTCCTTTGAACTTTCTCTTTGCATTTGTCTTTCATCGACGTACTTTCAATCTTGAAATGCAAAACTTTAGTCTTGGAAACCACCACATCATGAACGCGCGCCAGCCTTTTTGTTGATGGATGACATTTAAAAAGGTGTCAAATATGTTTCTTCCCTCACCCCCTAAATGGTTGACATGACCATTGGACGTTCGTGGGGTATGGGTTATTTTACCGATTTAGTTTGTATTGGAAGAATTTTTTCCCAAATCTCTCTGGAGTTAGAATTTTTTTCACCGACATATAACGGTGTAAGATTTTGCTCAGCATTATACGTCATGAGCGATATTTTTTCAGTGCAGGATATTTTTCTCCCAGGAATTTATTTGCATGCTTTTTTCCTCTCGAAATCAGTCTGCAGGACATTTTTTCTGAAGTCACTCATAACTTCTTCTAAAGTCAAATCGTCGGTCCCTAAAATCCACAAAACATTTGCTTAGTTGACAGATTCTGATTTGTCAATCATTTCTAAAGGGTTTAAAACAATAGGGGACAAAATTCTCTAGGGGAGAGGGGAGGAATTCGTTTCTACTTACCCCTACCAGGAAAGTCCGTACGGACGGACGTACGGTGACGTCATAACCAAATTTTCTCGGATGGGTAGTTTACCAAATTTTATTACCCATGGTGCTCCGCTGTGCGCGCTTCGCGCGCGCGGAGGCTCTGCAATGAAGTTTGATACTTCATCGATATTCTTATATTTTATTCAGAAAGCTTTTAAATGCACTGAGAAAGTCCTAAGTAATTGAAGACAGATGCTGCGAATTTGTCTGCGACATTTTGTGCTAGCATGAAGCATTTAAGCTAAGAAACATTTTTACATTAACATGCTACAGTCGACTCCCGATAACTCGAACCTTCAAGGGAAATCGAAAAAAGGTTCAAGTTATCGGGAGTTCGAAGAAAATAGCCGAGAGTAAGGTAAAAAACAGTTTTTACTGCACAGTGAACATTTTAATCACATTTAATTGTAGAAATGTCAAGTGAAAATTAAAAGTTACTTCTAGATTATAAATCAGAACGTAACGTAACGAAACATAGCCTAAATAGAGCATGCGTCACTTACTCTTTTGAGAAGAAAAGCTGCTGAGCGTTTCACGTTAGCCTGTGACAATCAACATCAGCCTCCACTAGTAAACTATACTCCTACCACACGTCAATAGGAAGTCAAAAATTCAATGCTTCGGACGCCAGTAGACGGCTTTTTTCCCGACTCAGTTAAGGGCTCAAAACATGGTTCGAGTTATCGAGGGTAAAATTATATAGAAAATGACCTGAGGGGAAACGAAAATTGGTTCAAGTTAGCGGGAGTTCGAGTTATCGAGGGTTCGAGTTACCGAGGGTAAAATTACAGTGAATGTATGACGGAAATCCAGGGGAAATCGATTTTGGTTCCAGTTAGCGCGAGGTTCGAGTTAATTTCATTTCAGTGGTAAACAAAACCAAATTAAATAAACAGAAAATAGCCTGTCTACTGACGCCCCCTCCCCTCAAAAAACAAAAACAAAAAAAAAAGTCGGAGAAGAATTGAGAGTCTCTCTTCCCAACTATTTTTAAGGGGAGGGGCATTCTGTAAACATGCTTACAGGAAATGCATCAAGCGTTTGACCGCGGTGGGTTATGGAGAGCTTCTTTAAAGTGAAAAGGCTTGAAAAACCTTGCAAGTATTGCAAAAAACCTTATAAGGGCTGGCGACATAAAAGGAGAACAACGTAATTAAGGACTGGTGCAAGGCAGGGTAGCTGTTACCTATTACCACTGTATCTCACTGCTATCACATATCATTTGATTTTTTATAGTGTTCAGCCGCAGCTTCCCTCCACTGGTGAAAGTAGTTACAGTATCAACATGTCTGGTGGACATGCCAGTATTGGTGACCACAGTGTCACCAATGTGGGAACAACAACACCAAGGTGACCTATACCGAGTATCATTTGTACTAATACGGTCATAAGGAACTCTTACAAATAGTATAATTGCTAAAAGACCTCATAAAAATAAAAGCTACCGAAAGTGATCATACGAGCCTGTGG